GAGCTCAACAAAAGCCGGCCGGCACGTATACAATATACCATGTCTATAGATATTTATATATATATACGTAAGGGGATTTTAAATTATCTCGGGCAACAATTACACGTAATGCCGTTTTGAAACTTTTCGCAGTCTTTGAGTACAACTTTTTGGCTCGAAATCCAAGAAGACAATCGTCCTTTGCATCGAGTCGATTAAAAAATAATGTATTTTTTTTTTTTTTCTTTTAATATCTGTCAAAGCAAACGAATCATCGAAACTGTCCTACTTTTTTATATGTCGCATGCGCACACTCCTCTCTCGCACTCGTGACGGTATATTCCCAAGAGCGCCGATTTTTTCCCAACCGCGTTTGCCCACGTTTGCAGAGCGTACGTATAATACACGTATACATATGGATCTTTTGTTTGAGAATTGCGCAACTGCGCGCAACGCGTGTACGAGCCGCCAGAGCGCAAAGGCAAACTAACTTTTAACGCGCTTTACCGAACCGAGATATCGCGGCTTTTTTTTTACGATGTTTAAAGTACGGTGTACGAGCGCCACGGGGACTTGTGGAATTGAAATGGGCGCAGGAACATTGAAAAACGAGGAAAAAGATGAGAGAGAGAGAGAGAGAAACGTCATCTTGCACGCGAGGGGATCGCAAAGTGGGCTGCGAGAGGAAGCTGCATACGTTAGGTACCCGCGGGAGCAAAAAGAAGGAGGAAGAGGAGAAAGAGCCGCGAAAGTGACGGGCGGAAGGAAACTTTTTGCTTTTTTTTTCCGCGGCGCCGAGGGAGGTGTGTGTTATGTTTTCCAAACGGAGATGCGGTCGCGCGGTAATGGCAACAATAAACGTGTCTTTGGAACGGCAATAAAATGTAGGGCACGCACTCGCGGCATTGACGCGAAATGCCATTACAACGCCTCGGGACATAAAGTTCGAAATGAAAGTTGTGTGTTCATAGTTATTGGAATGTAGGTAGGTGTACACGCGTACACGAAAGATTTTCGTCGGGTACACTACCCGCAGCGTGCTTGCGCAACCTTATAGAAAGCGCGAGAAGCGTGTACTTGATTTTTTTTCAAGATCCTTATCAGCTCTAAATGTGATGTCGGGGAGTTCATTAGAGGATGGCTTCGAGGTATCGCTGGCACAGAGACGTGTACACGAGTTACGTAACGCGGGTATATAATATATGTGTACTCGTACCCTATGAATTTTCATTCTATTCTATCCATCGGCCGTGAGGTTGCCCTCTCGTTACTCGTCGAGGTCTACCTTATAAAAAAAAAAAAAAAAAAAAACAAAAACAAAAAAAAGTGTACAAGTACCGGGGGGAAGCGTATACGAGCGACCGATGCACGCTGGAAGGGCCGGTCATGTCGGCGAATCCAGGGAACGAGGCCGACCTAACAAGATACCGGGCATCGTGAGGTACTGGAGGAACGCGGTCAAGAACATCGTGCTCTACCACAAGGAGGTTCGCCCGTCCCCTTTGTTTTTTTTTTTTTTGTTTTACATTTGGCTCGCGATGGGCGCGTACGGGAGGGAGATGATGAAAAAAAAAAAAAGGGGGTACGATGGCGATCGGTGTAAATGGTGTTTGGTTGGTGCGCAGAAAGGTAAGATCCCGCTCCTGTTGGCCGTGGAGGCGGGTAACCAGTCGATGTGCCGGGAATTGCTGTCGCAGTCGGCCACGGAACAGTTGAAGACGGTGACGCCGGCGGGCGATTCCGCGCTACACTTGGCCGCCCGCCGGCGCGACGTCGACATGGTCAGGATTCTGGTCGACTACGGAGCCAACGTGGACATGCAAAATGTAAATAATGTTGTACCACCTATTACGTAATATTATGTATCGAAGTTGTATTGTCATTGAAATTGGATTGTTGTGGGGGCGGGGGAAAAAAACAAAAAAAAAACGAAAAAAAAAACGAAATAGGGATCTGGACAGACGGCACTGCACATAGCGAGCGCCGAGGGGGACGAGACCCTGGTAAAGTTTTTCTGGGGCGTTCGGGCCTCGGCCTCGATTACGGACCACCTGGACCGCACGCCGATGCACCTGGCTGCGGAAAACGGTCACGCGTCCATAATCGAGTTGCTCGCCGATAAATTCAAGGCCAGCATTTTCGAGCGGACGAAGGACGGCTCTACGCTGATGCACATAGCGTCGCTCAACGGACACTCGGAATGCGCGACGATGCTCTTTAAAAAGGGCGTCTATCTGCACATGCCCAACAAAAAGGGCGCCAGATCCATACACACCGCGGCCAAGTACGGCCACGTGGGCATCATCAGCACTCTGTTGCAGCGAGGTGAAAAGGTACGTTTTTTTTTTTTCTTTCTTTTTTTTTTTTTCGCTTTTGCGTGTCATGGTGGACTCCATACATACACATCACGCAGTTGGGCTCGAGCGGGGCGGATGCGAAAATTCACGAAACGCGCGCCGGAACGGAGGAAACGGAGACGCGTGTGTTACAAACAACAACGGCACGGTTATGCTTACCTGCGTATAGGTACTTAATGCACTGGTGGAACGTACACAAAGAGACACGTACACCCACCTCGGCAAAGGGCACCTATATATACACACGTAACAGTATGTAGCACAACATATACAATATGCACGAGTATAACGATACGATTTCGCAATTCCTTTTTTTCACGCACTTCTTGTTCCCGTCCTCTTTGCACATGCACGAGGATCAGCTGCTGAGATCCTGTTTCCTTCGCGTGTGGCATTACTTCATTTTTATTGAAATTCATTCTTCCATTCATTTTTACTCTTTTTTTTTTTTTTTTTTTTTTTTTTTTTTTTTTTTTTTTTTTTTTTTTTTNCGATGGCGGCGATCCCATGTTCAAATCCAAGGTAAGCGGCCTCTCCTTTCGTTTTTTTGTTATAGGTATACTGTATACATTACCAACTTACATTCCCATCACTCAACAATTTTACATATGTATTATGGGGTACGCGAGTATCCCATAACGCTGTATTATACAATCGACAATGTGTCACATGTTTAATTAATCATAGATAATAGAATAGCTGATATACTTTTTCTCCACTTCACTCACACGCAAATATGGTACGGGTATAGTAGAAAATATGTGTAGTATGCATACGTTATCAAGTTAGATCAGATTAGACATTATAGGCATATACATATATGTGTGCAATTAACTGATGATCCATAGATTTTAATGTAGATTTAATGTTTGAAATGTATTTCACACGTCAAGAGCACGACACAGGTACGTTTATATTTAAATAGAGACTGCATGTTTATGTGTGTGTCTACGAATGCGTGTGTAAATGCACATCAGGTGTATACAAAATTGATTTGAAACCTTTCGGCAATGCACCGTTTTAACCCTTAATTTGTTTTCAACGCCGTCATACATGTACATTATTTATACACAAGGATGTAGCAACTGAGGTACGGCAGGTATACAATTTACCCCTCATTTGCGCTGCTTTAAAAAATATGCGACGAAAATATCGGGCATATTACTATTGATTTTGCTTAATATACATATTATATAGTACACTTCATACTACATGCTTGTTTTTTTTCTCGCTTGTAAAACAACATATTTTTATGCATAATACAATTATCTTCTTTCTCCACCGTTGCTTTCATTGTTTTCCTACACAAGACTTGACAAGGAAATCGAAAACTGTTGCCCTCCCGGCGTGTAAATATACATACTAGTTGCATGAGGAAACAATGCACTTTCGAAAGAGAAAAAAAAAAAAAGAGAAAAAAAAAAAAGGAAAAAAAAAAAAAACTCCTGGACTCGTGTGTGCACAGAGCGGGGAGACGCCGCTGCATTTGGCTTGCCGCGGCTGTCGAGCCGACGTCGTGCGCCACCTCATCGAGTTCGTGAAGGAAAAGCGGGGCGCCGACACGGCCACGAGCTACGTGAACAGCCTGACCTTCGAAGGCGCGAGCGCCCTCCACTACGCCGCCCAAATCGAGCCGAGCGAGGTAGTGCACGAGGGAGACGACCGGGCGGTCGTACGGGCCCTCCTCGAGAGCGGCGCCGACGTCAGCCTCCAGACCAAACAGGCCCAAGAGTCGGCCTTCCACTACTGCGCCCTGGCGGGCAACAACGCCGTCCTCTCCGAGATGATAAGCCACATGACGGTCACCGACGTCCAAAAAGCCGTCAACCGGCAATCGGCCGTAGGGTGGACGCCCCTCCTCATAGCCGCCCAACGCGGCCACATGGACCTCGTGAACAACCTCCTGGCCAACCACGCCCGAGTCGACGTGTTCGACCTCGAGGGCCGCTCTGCCCTGCACTTGGCCAGCGAGCACGGCTACCTCGAGGTCTGCGACGCCCTATTGGCCAGCAAGGCCTTCATCAATTCGAAATCCCGGGTCGGCCGGACGGCCCTCCACCTCGCCGCCATGAACGGCAACGCCCACCTGGTGCGCTTCCTCGTCCAGGACCACGGGGCGGCCATAGACGTGCTGACCCTGAGGAAACAGACGCCCCTGCACTTGGCGGCCGGGCTCGGGCAGCTGCAGGTGTGCCAGATGCTCCTTGAGCTGGGGGCGAGCATCGACGCGACGGACGACCAGGGCCAGAAGCCCATACACGCGGCAGCGATGAACAACTACGCCGAGGTCGCCCAGTTGTTTTTGCAGCGCCACCCGAGCCTCGTCATGGCTTGCACCAAGGACGGCAACACCTGCGCCCACATAGCCGCCATGCAAGGCGAGTATACAGTTATGGGAATCGCGCAAACATCTGCTGGTGGATTGTTTTCCATTGTTTTGCAATTGACAAAACTCGTTTGTGTAGGGTCGGTGCGGGTGATCGAGGAGCTGATGAAGTTCGACCGGCAGGGGGTGATATCGGCGCGCAACAAGCTGACCGAGGCGACGCCGTTGCAATTGGCGGCGGAGGGTGGCCACGCGGAGGTGGTTAAGGCGCTGGTGAGGGCCGGGGCGAGCTGCGCGGACGAGAACAGGGCAGGATTCACGGCGGTGCATCTAGCGGCCCAACACGGACACGGACAGGTACTCGAGGTCATGCGCTCGACCCAGAGTCTCCGCATATCCAGCAAGAAGCTCGGGGTCACCGCCCTACACGTCGCCGCCTACTTTGGACAAGCCGGTGAGTTTTTTTTTTTCTTCTTATTTATACACGGGCACAAGGAAAATGTCTCGAAATACAAGTGTACACTATACCTATATACACACGTACACGATTCCGGTAAGGTAAATTCATAGCGTACCGCTCTATCAAATTAAAAATATCAATACGTCAAGTATTTTAAATCCATAAGATGATGCGTTTGATTTATTTTTTTTTGGGGGGGGGGGGGGTTCCTTTCAATTTAGAAGCCAAAAAAAATCAATCGTTTGAATTCCAGTGAATATTCATTAGGGGGCTTTTTTAAAAATTGATTTGTATCGGGAGAGAACGAACCAATGTTGAAATAGTTTTCAAATCAAAGAGTCCTCGCTGTTTGATTTTTGTGGGATAGTATGTACATTGGGGATCAAGCGGAGGAAAATTAAATTTGGGTACCCAAGAGGGTAAATACAAATAAAAAAAAAAAAAAAAAAGGAACGAAAGATATTAATTTTTCGTGACGCGCGTAAATCGTACACATATCTACGAAAGCTTTATCGCCAACGCCGTTATGTATACGTATAGATATAGTCACGAGGAGGTATACGTTTATCAGCATTTTTTTTTTATTACACCCTCGAGCGCAACTTTAGCGCTGAAACGACACTGTAGCCCCACCTTAACGATCTCGCTGATGGTCACAAGAACAATTAAAAAATCATCCAACGAACGGCTTTCTTGTACAATCCTCCACCGATTGTGGAAACTCGTGTAGCTTTCGCACCCGTAAACACGCACAAAAGGGCGCGCCGACCGCTCCTCGCACGGAATTTCCCGAGATTAAAGTTTACCGATAAAAATTCCAATGCCGCGGGAGGGAAAAACGGATGTCGTTTTTTTTTTTTTTTCATTATTTTTCGATCGAAGGAACGAATGAATCATCCAGCTGACTTTGAATACGCCTAAACGAATACCATTTCGAATGTTTTATGCATACATATATACACACAGTGTTTCCGAAAAAAGGAAAAATTAAACTTGCCGACACGTGTACCCTTCATAAATACACACGTACATAATGGTAAGATCGAGCGTGAAACAAAGAGGCGAGCAAAGTAAAAAAAAATATGTGTACATTGCACATAAGTAAGCAAGAACTATAGAGATGAGGAGTGCGATTAAGGGACCTTGCGACAAGGTCTCGCGAGCGCGCGCACACACACGTATAAAAATAATATTAATTCGTGCGCGTGTAAAACTACGTCCACGCGGATGTAAGTAGGTAGTAGTAATAAGCACGTGGCACAATTTGGCATGTTACGCGTGTTCTTGAAATCTCAAAGATCAGCTTCGCTCCTAAAATGCACTCATTACGGTGTATACCTACTTATATATACATATACCTATCACATATGCGTGTCTGCACTCTGAGAGACCTGCAAGCTCTCGACTCTATGCATTTATGTACAGGTATACGCGTGTACCGTCTAAGGTATAATCATTCATGTTTTACGGCAGTGGTAAAACGAAAGATAATAATAAAAAACAAAAAAGAAAATAGCGTAACAGAATGACCAAAAGAATTTCATTGATGTTGACATTTCTTTTTTTCTTTTTTTTTTTTTTTTTGCCGCACTTGCTTATCGGTTTCGCGCTCTTTCGCCATTTGATACCATTGGTTGTATATCCATTGTACTATGAATTCTAAAGTTTTTTGCAAAATACGTTTCAGTAGAATATCAAGCCTATTAATTCACGTCTTGATAAAATTAAAAAAAAAAAAAAATAAATAAGACCACGTTCCGGAACTATTATTGCTAAAAATACGTATAAAAAACCAACAGACACGGTGAGGGAGTTGCTGACCCACGTCCCGGGCACCGTGAAATCCGAGCCACCGAGCGGGAGTTCGCTGGTCAGCGAATTGGGCAGCGAGTCCGGCATGACGCCCCTGCACTTGGCTGCGTATTCCGGCAACGAGAACGTCGTCAGATTGTTGCTGAATTCTGCCGGCGTGCAGGTGACGATTATATATATATATATATATATCATTTATTCGTTATTGACTGCTCGATCGCACGAGAGGTAAGACAAGCCCAACACTTGAGAATAAAAAAAAAAAAAACAACGCATTATTTTCAATATACTTACAACAAAGTATTTATTATATGATAAACGAGTGTACCGTGAGCACTACTATTAAATCAGCTCTAAGAAGTTCGTGTCTCTGAAGAACACGTAAAAATTGTAAAAACTTACGAGTATCGAAAAAATAGATGTATTTCATCGAAACGCCGCGGCAGTTAATTTTTTTCCTTCTCCGATTAGACGTTCTCGAAGGAAAATTATCGAGATTGATCGCGAACCCAAAATTGAATAAAGCCCAAAAAAAAAAAAAAAAAAAAAAGAACAATGTACCGGTGAATGTTTATGAGGGGGGACAATTGTACGACAGGTCGAGGCCGCGACGACGGAGAACGGGTTCAATCCATTGCATTTGGCCTGTTTCGGTGGTCACATAACGGTCGTCGGCCTGCTGCTGAGTAGATCGGCCGAGTTGTTGCACAGCGCGGACAGAAACGGCAAGACGGGGCTGCACATAGCCTCGACCCACGGCCACTACCAAATGGTCGAGGTGTTGCTCGGCCAAGGGGCCGAGATCAACGCTACGGACAAGAACGGCTGGACGCCGCTGCATTGCGCCGCCCGGGCCGGCTACCTAGACGTCGTCCAGCTGCTGGTCCAGAGCGGGGCCTCCCCCAAGAGCGAGACCAACCTCGGCAGCGCCCCCATATGGTTCGCCGCGTCCGAGGGACACAACGACGTACTCAAGTACCTCATGGAGAAGGAACACGACACCTACGCCCTCATGGAGGACAAACGGGTGAGACGCCCATCGCCAAGCCCCAAGCGATATCCCCCCTCCCTTCTCTCTCTCTCGCTATTTTAGGGAGAGAGAGAGAGATCATCAAATAAATCGCCGAGCAAACGTTCTCCGATCACGCGAGCGTCACCCCCTCCCCCCTCACTCACTCATCCCCGGTAAAATCGAAACACACACACACAACAAAAAAGGGACAATTTTATACGTTTGTAAAATGTGTGTTGGTTGGGTTTGGCGCAGTTTGTGTACAACATGATGGTGTGCAGCAAGAGCCACAACAACAAGCCGATCGAGGAGTTTGTCCTGGTTTCGCCGGCACCCGTCGACACCGCCGCCAAACTCTCCAACATCTACATGAAGCTCTCGGAGAAGGAGAAGGAACGGGCCAAGGACTTGATAGCCGCAGGTACTTTTTTTATCAAATCACCCACACCCCCCCATCTATATATTATATATCCATCCATGTACTTGCATATACGTGTGGTGGTCGCGGTATACAGGCAAACAGTGCGAGGCGATGGCCACGGAGCTGTTGGCCCTGGCCGCGGGGGCGGACTCGGCGGGCCGAATCCTCACGTCGATGGACCGGCGGAACGTCGAGTTTTTGGACGTTCTGATAGAAAACGAACAAAAGGAGGTGATTGCCCACACGGTGGTTCAGCGCTACCTCCAAGAGTTGTGGCGTGGCAGCCTCAACTGGAACGCCTTTCGCACGATACTGCTCTTCATACTGTTCGTCATATGCCCACCCGTGTGGGTGGTGTTCGCCCTGCCCCTCGGCCACAAGTACAACAACGTGCCCATCATAAAGTTCATGTCTTATCTGACCTCGCACATCTACCTCATGGTCTTTCTCGCCCTGGTCGGCATACTGCCCGTCTACACGGTCAACCGGACACCCCTGACGCCCTACTGGTACGAGTGGTGTTTGCTGGTCATGCTCTCGGGTCTGTTGCTCTTCGAGTTGACGAACCCGAGCGACAAGAGCGGCCTCGGCTGGATCAAGCTGGCCGTCCTGCTGTTCGGCATCTTCGGGGTGGCCTTCCACCTGCTGGGCTACTTCGACCTCGTCGGGGTCGAGAACTACGGGACCCTGCTCTACCTGCGCAACCAGCTCTTCGCCCTGAGCTTTCTCCTCGCTTGCGTCCAGATCCTCGACTTTTTGTCCTTTCACCACCTCTTCGGGCCCTGGGCCATCATCATCGGCAACCTCATGAAGGACCTGGCCCGCTTCCTCGCGGTCCTCGCCATCTTCGTCTTTGGCTTCTCCATGCACTTTGTCGCCCTCAACCAGGCCTTCAAGGAGAAGACCTCCACCAAACAGAAGACGCCCTTCTCCGACGGTGAGTCTTCCTCTCCGTCGCCCATACTATATTTTTTTCGTTTTTTCGTTATGTCTTTCCATTTTATTACTATTATATGTACTACTTTCAACTGGTACTATTCGTTTTTTCTTTCCATCGTACGCGTGTTTGCGATTTTTCTTGCTCGTGGGTGGTTGAAAAATAATATATTGACGACTGTGAGACCTTTTTTTTTTTTTTTTTTTTTTTTTGTTGTTCTTTGGAACAAATTCTTTTACTTTTTGATTTTCAAGTAGTTTACCATGTTTTTTGTTTTTTTTTGTTTTTTATATAAAGTGCCCAAGGGGAAAAAAAAAGAAAATGTGTTTTTAACAAAAGTTTGTGTTTTTTCAAAACCCCCGATTTTTCGCCCTTTGTTTTTTGAACGGAAGGATCCAATAAGAAGAAGCGTACAGGTAAAACAGTATCCATCAGATAGCACCACTGTAGCAATGACAAAATAGGACATGTAACATTTTACAGTACTTTATTGTCATATACATATACGAATGATTTTCAACCACCCGTTACTTACTAGTTTTCTTTAGTCTCCTCTCATTACTAGCCATACGACATAGATGAGCTTTTCAAAATACTTTTCATTTTTTTCTATCCAAACTATTAATAGCTTTCTCTTTTATTTTTTTTTTTTTTTTATTGAAATTAGCATAAAACCTACTTCGAAACGCCTCAGAGTATGTGATATTCAATTGATTCCTCATAAATATACCCTCCCAAGCTATAAGTTCACGATCAAAAGAGTCAAAAAGTATTATCCTATGCCGGGTGTATAGCGATTAAAATGTATAGTAACAATTTGCAAATCCACGCGTGACCAAACAAAAACGAAGAAGAAGAGGAGGAGGAGGACGGAGGAGGGAAAACGATATCGATAATTGGTCTAATGGTGTGCGTCTATGTGCATGTACTTACATATAGAACTCGTGATGGCGGATAATTTAACCGAGTGGGAAATGATTGATACGAGGGCGCAAGCAGCCCCGGCCCCGCCGCCGCCACCGGCGGTACAGCCGCACCGGCGCTTCGGACGATACAAGAAAAAAAACGAGTGCGACGAGAGCAGCCGAGATTGTAAGTCTTACTCGGTTGGTCGGCTACGCTGGCTTGTCGACCTGCCTGTAATGGTGATGTGTGTCTTTGCTGCGCGCCAAATTACGTACTGCCAAACGTATATATGCAATTCCGCATTTTGTATACAACTCGCGTGATGCAGTGTGTGTGTGTGTATTACACGTTATTGTTCTTTTTTTTCCTTCCTCCCCCCCCCCCACTGGAATTGCAAGAACAAACAAAAAATGTTTTACTGTGCTGCGCCGGGTTGATGACTGATTATATAGCGCTTTCAAGCTCGTCGATGTTGTGTGTCCTGTCTCGCCTGAACATGTGTGTTAAGTTTCAATAACAATTATGCATCTTGCCCTATTGTATTACTTATTATTTGAATCATTTTCATTATTATTACTGTGCCGTCTGCCACACCAATATGATAGTTTAATGATAGTCGGATCGAATCAGCTTAAAACTGCCTCCTCGATTCCCGTGAGGAAATCATTTTTGTGACCATTTTTCTGAAATGGTAAAAAAATGGCACTTTTTTTTGAAGAAGGTTCCGTACACCGTAGCTTGGCGTTAAAAAATTATTTATGTTTGCCACTTTTCTAATCAACAAATTTTTCCAAACTTGAACTGAAAGTCAAGAGTCAAAGTCGCGTTCGGCGGCAAAAGGCCAATTCGATCCGATTGTGTGCGCACGTATGCGTACAGCACCCAGAAAGTTTGTGTTTCTTCATTAAAAAACAATCCACACACGACCGACACCAATAAATGTCTCTTTGTTTTTTGTTTTTCAACCCCGTATTTACAAAAACAAAACCAGGATTTTCAATGGCAGCTCCGCAGTTGATTCAAGAAGAATTTGCGCCAACAAAGTTTTGAAAGCCGCACGTTTTTATACACACCATTAAAAACATACTATAAACAGGTACCTTTTGATAGCACGATCGTGTGTGGCACACTGACTGAGCACGCGTGGCCGGTGTGGATCGCAATGTATTTCTAACGTGACTCATGGTGGGTGTCAACTAAGTATTATCATCATCTCCACTGCATGTTGTGACTACACACGCGCACACACGTACCAGACAATGCCGTCGGAAGAGGCGCTGACATATGGAATACACATAACAAAGACAGTCACCGGCAAAGAGTCCAGCTGCGAGGAAGATAGGGCCTAAAAAGGAAACATATATATATACGTGCGACGAGAAAAATAATGAAATATATACATTAATGGCAATTAACAACACACGAATATCGAATGCTAGCTCGTTAGCTGCACAACGGCAATATTGTAGGATTGACTATAATAACCTATGTCTGTTCTGTCATCACGCATAAAATACATCGCTGTCGGCTGAGTTTTACACACACTATAATTACTGTCGTCACATACGTTATACATGTTTGTTGTCCTGTGAATATTTTATACTGGATCAGACAATCAGAATGATAGAGAAAAAAAAAAAAAAATCAAGTGCACACCTGTATATGTATAATAAGAATGGGCCAGAGCCGATGGGTCTGTTCTTTTCGAGCGTGTACCGACTAAAAAAACACTCTACGGAAATGGTACCGTGTGCGTTCGCAAAAGAGGCCCCGAGCCATTTGGCCCGCGTATTATATATATTTGTCTATTACATATAGTTGACACAAAAAACAATCGGACTTGAATCGCATATATAATATAGATTCCATCGTATACATATTATCCTGAATTTACATTGGAATCGCTCGAATCGAATGCAGCGCCAATGATAATACAGCCACCACAAAAAAATGTCCTATAAAATCCACTCTTCACATTTTATAATTATATAGAACCAAAATACATCACGTGTATACACCTCCGTCACGCATATCATCAAAGATTATATTAATTTACATCACACGTTTATAACACATGTACCTCGACACGTTAGTCTAAATACCGATTATTTATGTATACAACACCCACACGAATCGTATTAGCCCGAAGCATGAGCATGGCATATTACAAACGATGAAACAAAAAATGTACATGTCGCTCGGTATGTATTGTACGCAGCGAACATTGAAAATGATCAGTGCATCATCAAATACGCATATAGAATAGCCATAAATGTGGGTTGAACGCATATTACATATAGAATAGAATCGTCGATAACGATTTCGCCACAGCCGCAGCTTTGATCAATTATATACGATTGATCGGGTGAATGACGCAGTCGCCGCCTGATGCCCGTGCCTGTTGCCTGCATATACATATATATATAAATTATTCGCACCCAAAGCATCAATGCTCGTAAAACACCACACAAAATGCCTGAGAATTAATGGAGAAAAAAAAAAAAAAAAAAAGAGAGAGGAAAGGAGATGCGAGTAAGGGACTTTTAGAAATACCGAGACAAAAAGAGAGAGATGTGCCTGGCACGTTCCAGTGAAAATGAGTCCGATGCTCGCGTTCGAGTACCTCTTCTTCGCCGTGTTTGGCCAAACGACGCACAGCGAGCTCAGGGTCGAGACCAACCAGCCCGAGTGGACCGCGGCCCTATTCAAGCTTGCCTTCGGCGTCTACATGCTCGTCGCCGTCATCGTCCTCATCAACCTCCTCATCGCCATGATGAGCGACACGTACCAGAGGATACAGGCCCAATCGGACATCGAGTGGAAGTACGGCTTGAGCAAACTCATACGCAACATGCACAGGTACGTATTGTAAAAAAAAAAACCACCCATTAGCACGAATTACATATGTATAGTTATTTACGTACCCTTTGATTGTGCCATTTTTTTCACCACAACTATATCAATGATGAAACAAAAATTACGAATGAGAGCATTGGTACAGGCAAAAGTAGGTTTTTTGGTCCAAATGGCACTTTTTTTGATTGCAGAACAACGACGGCCCCGTCGCCGCTGAACCTCTTCACGACGTGGATCGTGTACTTCATAAAGCAGTGCCAGCAGAAGACGGTGACAAAGAAGCGCAAGCGGCCCTCCCTGGTGCACATGATGGGGCTGCAGCGTCACGTGGCCGCGAGTCGCATGTCGCCGCGCTCGAAAATGGGGGCCAAGTGGCTGTCGAAGGTGAAGAAGGGCCAGGTCCGGCCGAACAAGGCCGACAGCGTCGCCCTGTCGGTCGTGCACCTCAGCCCGCTGGGTAGCCAGCTCTCCTTCAACAGCGCCACCAAAATCGAGAACGTCGTCGATTGGGACGCCATACGGAAAAAGTACCTCGCCCTCACCGGGGGCGGCGAACCCGACAAGGAGCCCGACAAGGACGACAAGGACCCCAACGACGACCAGGACCAGCTACAACAGCAGACCCCCAACAACGACGACAACCACAATTAGACACCTTACATCGCTACAACATTATTTTTTACGCAGACCGGATGACCAATGTATACGTGTACACAATCATACCCATACACGGCAGATTCGCGCATACGTGTACAACCACACACTTTCATCGGACAATTATATATATTTATAACATACCATAATTAGAGCTGCTCGTACATAGAAAATACATAAGAGCATACCGATCGTCGTCGATGGCTTGCAGGATGCGAGGGTCCTGCCTCCCCCTCTGTGAGTGAGTCGCGCTCCGTGTATAGTTCTTTCTTCCTCTACCAGCGAACAGTTAATTTTTTTTGCGTTAGACAGTAAGTAAAACTAATACGTAACCTACTATATACATTACTTTTTTATTATAATATATATTCATATATCACACGCCAATCAGCGAATGAGAGATGTGTATATCGTTACTGTTGCTGCTGTTTGCCAGCGTCAATGAGAATGCGCCCGCAATTTTCTTTTTACTGTGCCTATTATTACGCCTAACAACATAATATACATGAATAATAAGACTGCTATAGACATATATAGCGCATGTGCTCGTCCTTATTACATTGTGTGCCACGCATATATTTATGTATGTGTACGTTTATTTGATACGAAGCGTGTGCGCATACCTATACATCTTACGTCATTCAATCATCCGCAGCTAGTGTGCACACTATACAACTGTACCCCTCATTATGGCTCTGTCGGGCTTATCACGAAGGACATTTCGGTTCTCCGATTCCACACAACGTTGTTTTCGAGTATCGATTGAAACGGCTCAAGATTTTCGCTCCTATTTTTTTCTTCAAATCGGTATCAGTACACACCTTTGACTTTCCCTTTCGTTTCGTATGGTTGAAATTTACAAACAAACAAACAATATTGATTATAGAAATCATGCACATTGGGCAAAAATACATACACGTGCACGGAATCGCGCGCGTAAGCAATAAACGAGATATCCCAAACGACTGGCAATCACGCGTACCTATATATATGTATATATATACACCCGTAAACATCGCATACGTCTCGAATCGATCGCGGATAAAATAATACCATGCATTACACGTTGTGTGTGCACTTTTGGCGCCGAGCAACGTCACGCGTTAAATTATAAACGCGCGTCCATACGAGTGCACGGCAATATAATAGCGTGACGATTCGACAAACCACACCGCAAGTACACGCGGTTCATAATCCATTGCTAGAAATGGCACGACACACCAAACAATCATCAACATCGTTGCAATGTCATATCATCGCAGAAAAGGAGAATAAAAATATATTATCCATAAAGGCTATAGATATAGATCGTGATTTTCATTGAATGAGCTGGGATGTGCATTTGTCTCCACCGCATCAACGAGCATGAAGTTTTTCTCATCTCAATATATTGTATTGTATAATAATAATATAAAGGTACCGCTGCGAGTACCCTCCACACGCACAAAACCACGACCCGTTTTCTTGCAATATCCATACTTGTGCCGCTCGAGGGGACATTATTATGTTTGTCTTTTGCTCTCGTCCACGTGATTTTTAGGCACGGAATGTTCATGAAAAACCGTGGACGTAGTGAAAAATAATAGCTTAGTTTTTGGGAATGAAACAAGTTACCTTTACTTGTTTGCGTGTATTTATACATGTTTTTATGAGCGAGAACCGATTTTTGAAGCATGTCTATCACGAGAATGACGAGGCCTGCGCAGGCACAAGAAGGGCAACATATACAAACCGAGTCCCGCACTGTTATTATATCTGCCACCGCTGCCGCTGCTGCCTGCATTATCGACGATTATTATATCTTATGAACGAATAACAACGTGATTTGTGCAAAAAATTAAAAAATAGAACAAAAAAAAAAAAAAATGGCACCTGGTAATCGAAGGCTGAATGACGTTGCAGTGGTAGTATGGCCCCACCAAACGATCGAGCTGCTCTTCTTCGCGATATTCGGCCAAACGACCCACGATAGCTTCAGAATAGTCTCGCGGGACAGACAGGAGACCTGGTCGACGGCCCTATTCAAAATGGCCTTTGGTGTGTACATGCTGGTGTCGGTCGTCGTCCTCATCAACCTCCTGATTGCCATGATGAGCGACACGTACCAGAGGATACAGGCCCAATCAGACATCGAGTGGAAGTACGGATTGAGTAAACTCATACGCAACATGCACAGGTTCGTGCATTTTGCCAAACCCACCCTCCATTACCATTTATTGTTATACATGTATAGAGTTTATAAAAATGTACCTACTACATATTACCTATATGACATTAACTTATGTGTTGGACAGTTCAATGTATACATTTTTGTTTTGTTTTGTTTCATTGTTGTTACATAAATATATAGTTGTCGTTGTTGTTTGTATTACATAAGTGTATTGAAAGTAAGTTTGATTTTCGTTTTTATTTACTTGATTACGTAGCTGCTTTTACATAGTTATGAATGATTGTAATACCAAATTAACAAAAAAAAAAAAAAAAATGGATTGTAAAAAATTTGTTTTTTTTCTAATCAAAGTAAAGTAGTGTAGACACGTAAACCATGTACTGTAATGTAGATAGATGTATACGTAGAGGGCATGCAAGCACTGAGAAACTGTAGAAACTCACCGAGAAGTAAATAGAAAAAAAAAAAGTTTGTCACTCAAGTACTATGTGCATATAATGCAATTGGACGATTTTTGTGCACGTAAAATCTCACGAACGAGTTAGAAAAAAATAACGTGTGAGCTGACGAAACCAGAGACCGAAACGTAGAAAAAAAGAAAGTTACCAATATAAGCTTTTGTACATGCACGTATCCATATTGTTAGACGTAATTGCAATGTGATGTAGAGAAGAGCACAAGGTATAACTTGGGACTGATGAATAACTGAAAAAAAAAAAAAAAAAAAAAAAAAAAAAAAAAAAAAAAAAAAANAAAAAAAAAAAAAAAAAAAAAAAAAAAAAAAGTATAAAAGTTGATTACCAATGCTGTGTTTCGGTACGCCCATCTATACACCGACAACAGAACGACGACGGCCCCGTCACCCCTGAACCTGGTGACCTCGTGGCTGTTGTACCTGTTCCGGCTGTGCAGCCGGCGGGGCCACATAAAGGAGCGGCCCTCTCTGGCCAACATGATGGGCCTGCGTCGGAGCGGACGGCTCTCGGCGCGCTCCAAGATGGGGGCCAAGTGGCTGTCCAAGGTGAGGAAGACGCCCTCGCAGGTGGGACACAAGGACAGCCTGACCTTGTCGGCGATGCGACTGGGCGGCTCCCTGGGTAGCCAAGTGTCGTTCGGCGGGGCAACGCGCGTCGAGACGGTCGTCGACTGGGACTTGGTGCGCCGTAAGTACCGGGAGCTCAGGGGCGAGCTGGCCGACCTGGCCTCCGGCAAATCGGCCAAGGACGACGCTGCCAAGGACGACGCCGAGTCGGATATCACTCCCGAGGACAGCAGCTCCAGTCCCGTGGGCAGCCAAGCCACCCTCATCGCCACGTCGACCTAAACTCCCTCTCACCGCGTCGCCCCTACACCCCCCCACAATCTCGTTCATTCATCCATCCACATCCGTGATTTGGCTCAACGTTATGGACTTTCAGCGATGCGGTTAGTTGCGTAACTTGTAACGCCACATAGCTGTCTCGTGTTATTGTTGTTGCAGTACATCCATGTGTAGTCGGCAAAATAACATTAGTAACTGTTTTGTCTATATAAGTGCACCCCGTAGGTGTAGAAATTGTTGTATGTAGTAGTTTTTTTGTGACTTGCGGATCTTTACATATCCCCGTGCGTGTAGATGATGCATATCGAAACCCACTGACCTTGTACGAGGCACATACATCCGACGAGGTGATTGATAAATTTGTCCAACTAGCTGGTAGAAGAGTACATCGTTTCACCGAATGATTGTAGTTACTTTTTCGCATTGGAGCGGAAAATTGCACTTTATCCCACATACTGGTGTAAACACAAATGTTGTTGTAAACACATAAAAATTCGTAACGATTTTTTTTATCTTTTTGTTTGTGTAAATCAAATTGTAACATTGTACAGTATTATTCATAGTGTAGATACATAGATTCATCGTTAACCAGCTGTATGTGTTTGTAATAAATCCACCGCCACAGCCGTAGAAAAGGTTGTAATAGCTGTGATGTCTGCGTATATTATATGATGCAGTAGACCACGTTGTGCCTTGAAATTTCATTGAAAAAATCTGTAATCGACACTGTGCACAAAATATCGTTCTTTTTTTTTTTTTTCAGTGAACGTGAATATCATCACGATTACGGAAAACCTATTTTTCGCGATATTCGGACAGAAGGACACCGACGATTTCACGATTGCTCTTCACAGCGGCACCCAACCGAGCTGGACATTATTCCTCTTCAAGGTAAACCCATAGGAAGAAGAAAAGGTTGTTTTTTTTTCCAACAACGTACTCTCTGCGTTTCAGTTTTCCTTCTCGATCTACATGATGGTCACCGTCATCGTACTGATAAACCTCCTGATCGCCATGATGAGCGACACCTACCAGAACATCGTGTCCCAGTCGGACATCGAGTGGAAGTACGGCTTGAGCAAACTCATCCGCAACATGCAAAAGTCCGCTTAATCCTTTTTTTTTCAACGATTTCAAAGTTCACATTACCCATCTCTGTACAAAACGAGTTTTTTCTTCTTTTTTTTTTTTTTCTGCCACAGAACAACGATGGCACCGTCTCCCCTGAATCTCATAACGTCGTGGCTGGTTTATTTGCACAAATCTTTCGAGGAGAGGCGCGAAAACAGAAAGCGCATGAGCGTCATGAACAGCTTCATAGGCCGGAGGCTGCCAAAGAGCCCGTTTTCACCGGTACTTACATACTGTTCAGGCAAACACTATAGCTGTATACAATAAACGGTACAAGAGCTAAAACTGGAAATGTCTTTTTTTTTCCAGAACAACAACATCAAATCGGCCCAAGACAGCCTTGGGTTGTCTTTGCTGCAGCCGAGTCCGCTGGGCAGCCAGTTGTCGTTCCGCAATATCTCCAACATCAACAACGTCGTCGACTGGGAAATCACGAGGCGCAAGTACAGAATTCGATTCGGCGGCGAGGTTGAAAAGCTCAAGGGTGCACCGACCATTCTCGACGAAGCGCCGTAAAGCGGGTCAGCTCGCTTATCTGGTTTTCGTTCCTTTTCCTCAATCCCCGCGTAATTTTTCCGATGCCGATGGATCATCCGTTACGCGGACAAACAAGAGACGACAAACTTTGTTTTCCACACCTGTGTGCTGCATGTGTGTACGTTGGTGCTGTGTACAAAAAGCTTGGAACGATGTTACAAAGTGTAAAATATATTGCAATAACACAAGTGACGTTGATGGAGTTCTTAAAGGGCGATTTTATATAGCGCAGGACTCGCAAAATCGAGATAAAGTTTGCTAGAACTTGTGACTCGATGATATTTTCAATTTTCTATTGTCAAATTTATAATGCTATGATTATAACTTAAAAAAAAATACAAGATTTAGCCACAACACGTGAGCTGTACATACACCTTGTAAGTACTTGATCTATATGCTAATCGATTTTGTGAATACCAAATATATGTATCATTTGAAAAAAAAAAAAAAAAAAAAGTTTACTCTAAGTATCTAAAGGTGATTATACGTATACAATACAAACTCCGCTGCATATCCCATGTATACTTGGATGAATATATGAATGATATCAGAGTTCGGGGCGTCCAAAGGGCGGTTCGGCGTTGGTTTCGAGGAAAAAAACGCCCCTTGACTCTTTGTCCACGTGCTCGCCCATGTAGTGCACGGCACGCCCGTCGCTTCTGTCGCACCAGTTGGCCTTGAACTCTTTCCAGCCGTAGCACTCGACGGCAGGGAAGCCCACGGGGTTTGTTATGGATTCGCTCATGAATTGGTGCGACCTCCCGTGGCTGCAGTACTCTGAGCAACGACCATACACCAAACAAGTTGATGATGCGTCAACTCGACGGTGATATTATATTGGATGGAAAAAAAATAAATAAATATATAGTTACGCGTCGAGAGGACAGGGCACCCGGGCTGTCGGAAGCTGCCCCCGTTGGGGTAAAAATCTGCATGCCCGATCGGCCTGACGAAGCCAGCGGTGCCGGCGCACGTGTGGATCACGTCGACGTAAATCGCGTCGCTCGGGTCCAGCCGGTCTTTGGGCTCGCGCAGCAGAGGCACCTCGAAGTCCGGCCGCGCTGGGTCCAGTCCCGTGATACGGCCGAGTTTCCCCGACAGCGCACGCCCTGCGGAGCCAGCCACGTGTGCCCCGAGACTGTGACCGAGAATGTGGATACTCTCGAGGCTCGCGCCACCCTCTGACGCGAGCACAAGCTCCACGAAGCGGGCCACGTAGTCACCCACCTTTATATTATTATATGTATACCCAATTGCCATATTGGATTTTACTTTGCAATGATCAACGACCATTCGTTTCAACGTGGTAGCTATATAATATGTACAAAGACTACAAAGTCATGTTTAAGAAAAAGGGACATAATATCGAAAACGCTCGCGGAAAAGTTGCAAAAAATTTCAACTAATCTTACTTTTCGTCAGTCATTAATGTATAAACAAGTATAACTTAATTTTTATACTTATGGGAGTTACGAAAAATATATTGAAAAAAAAAAAGAAGTTTTTGGGCCGAATGAAATTTGGATCGAATAATCGCCCTGTAGACTACGTACCTATATATGCGATCGGCTCCTGCTTGAGAACCATCGCAACTACTCAGTTCTCTTGCTTCATGGTATGACAAAGAGAAACAAAAAAAAACTATGTTTTTTTGAGGAGGGGTTGTAAGGGGGGGAGCAAAAACAAAAAAATATAAAAATCACTCACCAGTTTTGTGAGCCTGGCAGCAACCAAGTACTCCTTGAAAGAGCCGGAGGACCAATCGACGAGGATGACGTTGTAGTCGGCGGCGTCGAGGTAGTTCCTGCGCATGTCGTGCATCCAGGAGCTGCTGCCCGAATCCGTCCAGCCGTGAATAAGGATTTTCGTCGGCATCGTTGCGTCAAAGTACGAACGGTTCAGGCCACTGGGCTCGCTGACACTCAGTACGGCCGGTTCGCTCGGATTTTGCCGGGTGTACAGGTAAAAGCCGACGTCCCACTCCGGTATGGACAAGGTACTCGGATCCAGTAGGGCGTCGAGGCCGGCCATCGACGCCGAGTTCACGAAACTCTCCAGGAGGATCTCCTCCATCAGAAGATCCGACGGCCCGTCATAACCTACTGGCACCGTCTGCTGGTGGCCGATGCTCGTCGCCGCTCTTTTCACGACCGACTCAACGGTACTGGCAGTACTGGCGTCCTTGATGCCCACAGTGGTAACTGTTTTCGTAAAAACGTAAAAATCATCCTCTGTATTTGAATACTGAGGTGTGTGTGCGTTTAAGATGAGGACTGTTGAATTACTTGCAAAAAGGAGGAGTGGAAGGCTAGAAAAGCTCGAAACCATGTCCATACGATTCTCGTCGGCGTCTTACTGATATAACATCGAACTGACCGATTTCATTTATTCGGCTGAGTTTTTTTATACATCCAATTTACTCGACTAAAGCCAATTGCTGTGCTCGTTACACATCATATGTTACGTCATCTGGTTATTTCACGAAAATTTTATTGAAATGTGGTACGGATGCTCAAAGATATACTCATATCAATATTACTACTGCGTGTGTGCATCGTTACATAATGTTGGGCTCACAATATTTTAAGGAATTCAAGTAGTTTTCAAGTTTTTTATTGAAGAAATAAAAAATTTGTACAAAATAGACAATACTTATGAGATTAAGGAACGTGAAATTCAATGGAATTCTCTGTACAACATTATAAATCTTTACACAGCTACTTATGATATCTTATTGACAATACTGTAAATCTTTTCATTGGTTGGTTGAAAAATTTAAGTAACAGTAATAAAATATATTGTTATGGTTAATTATTCATACATCATTATAACCTTTCTCGGGAATAAATACTTTTTTTGGCAAGGTACAGAGTTTCATCATTGTATCTATTCAATTTGGTTATTGTTAAGCCGCGCAAAGCGGCTACTCGACGAATACAATCCTGTTCTTGGCTAGATAGACCATGTGGAATTTGTTGCTTCATAAGATTTTCATCATTAATGAAAGAATCGCACATTTCAATAGCAACTTGCTCAAACTCATCGGTTTCACTGCTTGGTTTGAGTTTTAAAGAATTTTGAGCAAAACGTTTCGAGTAATCCAAGTACTTTTGCCTGTTTTCTTCCACCTAAGTGAACAAATTGTATGAAAATTGTTAGAAAAATTCATAAATATTAATGAATTCGACTTTCAGTTCATAACGTACCACTCTAATTTCTCTGAGTACGTCTGCAGATGAAGGGCATAAGTTGTGAGCTTTCTGCAATGCTTTCATTGCTTCGTCATAATCTCCCAACTGCGACAGAGCTTTCCCATACCTAAAAATTGCATTAGAAAATCATTCCATCAACAATACTAAATTAAATTACTGTAAAGGATTCATACTCACTGGAAATATGCTTTTCCATCATTTTTAACAGGTAGTTTCTGAAACATGGCACAAGCAAGTTTTGGCTTTGAAACCTTATTGTAGCAGACTGTTAAATTTGTTAATGCTCTGGTTAACAATCTGTTCATTTCTCGCTCTTCCTCGTCATTTTCTAGACGTGCTGACTCCAAGTAGTTTACAGCTCTCATGTACCTGATAAGTAATTTAAGAAATTGATTTTTCATCAACTACAATTATTTACTCATTAAAAAAAAAAGGAAAAAATATCTTACTCTCTTATAGCTTGTTTTGTTTTCTGGCGCTTAAAAGTATCTGCAGCAGTAGTCATCAAATCTCTTATGATTTTTTCAACGACGGGAAATCTTTTTTTTTCCTCATTGCTCAATTCATCGTACATATCAGCTTGACCATTGTCCAAGAAATCAATGAGGTCAATTTTAAACAAGACTTCGGCATTAGGTGGTACTCGAGGCAAGCATCCTAATTCACCATAAGCTAAGCTAGGCTGAATAATGAAAAGGGCTTTTTCAAATTTTTTCATTGAGCATATGGCGATTTCAAGGCCTTGTAAAACTTGACCTCGTCCCAAACGAAGAATTGCTTTTTTGTCTCGCATGTAGAACGTTGAATCAAAGGGTTCATCCTGATGTTCAAAATAGCCAACATATTCGACTGTAACTTGAGCATCTTTGGGAATAGTTTCACCATGACCTTCTGTTTTGATCAATTTCAAAATCTGCAAGTTCAAAAAAAAATGTGATAAAACAATTAGGACGTTTTATTTTTCCAAACTACAAACCTCTCCATTGCCATAAATGCTTTTCATCTTGGGCTTTAGGGTATCAAATGCTATTCCAACAAATGGAATATGTTCATTTTCATTGACCTCTTTTTCATCAGAGTCATCTTGCAGGCTCAAAAATTTTAAAATTTCTTCATTGCTCAGTTGAGTAGTCTTTTTGAAGTCAAAGTCATCCTCTTCGTCAATAAGATCTGCAAAGTCACCTGTATCCAAGGTAAAACCATCACTATTCAGGATTTGACTGAAATAAAAATAAGTAATCAAAAACAATTAGAAGAATTTTGCAAATCTTATCTTAAGAAAACTTGAAAAGTTTCAAATAGGTCTAAAAACAATTTAAAATGAATAGATAGGCAGTAGTGTTTGAATAATAGATGATCGACAAATCCTCTAGGTAGGGTACGTCGTATAATCCATACACCATGTGCCTTTTTATGAGAGCTTGTTTTATTACTGTCTTTTGTACTCACTCAATAGTGAAACCTTCTCCCGCCTTGATAACATTGGATGTTTTGTTTGACATTGCTGATTCGTAACCTAAAAAAACAATGAGAACTTAATCTTAAGTCAATGAATAATTCATGCAACAACGAAAAATTGAATCAAAAGTAAATAATAGCGAAGTATACATAATTACGTCTACCTTATAGACGAAAACGTGACAAAATCGATTGTAAATTTTATATTTTTAAAAACACCGACTGTTTACAATGCAAAAATTGTTTTTCTTTTTTATGTACATTATAGTGTGATACATTCTTCCTAGTGTGGCACTTAACACTTGCCAGCTATGCGTGAACAGTCAAATTTATATTTCTAATTAGTTAATACTTACAAATAAGTCAGCTACAACCACCCTGAAGAGATGTTGTTATTTGTCGTAAAACAAATTGCTACTGCTAATTGCGACGTGTCAAGACGTGTTCCTTCTTGTGAAAATTATGAATGACTCATAAAGCTAAGTATAAAATTTCACACCAATCGTCAAATTACACGAGCTTTCGAAAGAGACATACACACAAAACACACTTCTTTACCTACCGAGCGCCAAGAGATTGCCGGCAAAAGTTTTGTTTGGATACAAGTTAGTATAGCGTATAGCGTTGTTAGTCGTTAGTATACCTAATTACACCGGTGCATACAAAATAATCCAATAAGCTCGGTTGTCTTGTATTGCTACAAAATGACATTGGATGTTGATGATTCTGCAATTAATAAAAAACTTCAAATACTTTCAGTAAGTTGATTCAATTTTTTGCTTGATTCCTATTGCTTCCAAACAAAATTATTCATCGTTGTTGTAATTTCCAGACCGAACCTCAAGACAATGTTATCTCATGGTTACAAAATGACGGGAACAAAAACATCCCAAAAGTTAAAAAAATTGACCCTTTTCCCGGTAAGTGCTGCCTCATTCTCTCTCCTTCTTTCATAATATTACGACATTTCAATCGGTCTTAATTATTTGTCCGTAATTTATAACTTATTTCATCATTGAAGGTATCTGCATTAAAACTTGGTCAGAGAGTGGAGACAAAATTTTCATAAATTTGTGTCATTCAAAAGAGATAGTCCCACCAGAAGATATATCAGATGAGAAATTTCGAGAGTTAATGACTCAGGATGTTCCTTCATTTGTTATTCCTATGGCCATTGGGACAGAGAAAATGGCTAAAGATAAACGTATTGTTAATACATAATTATGCCTAGCATTAACATTAAGATTTTTATTGAAATTTAATCTCTCGTTTTAGAGGATATTGAAAGATCTACTTATGACATTTTGATAAATACAAAATATTTTGACAAATGCAGGCAAAAAGGGCATTTTTTGCGATTTACTGTTGCTGCGATTTTGGAATCAATTAATGATAAATACAAGCAGTCTATTGATGTCTCAAAGTATGTCATCCTACAAAATAGAAAGGTAAGATTGTTTGATAACAAGAAATGACAAAACTTTTCAGTTTAAAATTTTGCTAGGTCATGGGCTATCTGGATACATTTACTGTTGAGGACAGGGAAGCAAAAAAACCCGTTGTTAAGAAACCTCTTATTCAAGTCATTGATATTCCTGAAGAAACACAGAATAAACCAAAAATCACAGATTCTAATATCAAATACCACCCAAAAGTGAATAATTTTGTTATTCTGAAGTCATCCAGTGAAAATCATTTGCTTGGATTATTTTATTTGCCTTTAGCACATTTAACTGATATAACAGTGGATATAGGAGGGAATCGTATAATTGTTGAAAGTAAAAGAACCGATGTCATTATTGATACTTTATTACCACATTCCATCGATGACAGCCATGTGTCTGCGAGTTTCGACAGCAAATTACATGTAAGATTGCATGTTATTTAACAATTTGATCAATGCACTAATTTGGGTTTCTTTTAAATTAAGGTTCTACTTACAGATTCTTCGCTTAATGATGCCTTTAAACGGCAAGTCATAAAAAATTGAAGTATTCAGAGATGTTTCAAGTTTACTAACTTAAAATTATAAGTGTAAATATTAAGTAATTGAAACAAGTAATGAGTATATCAAATAATAACATTTGTAAAATATTGATACAAAAAGTTAGTTTATGATTTTTAATAAAAAAATGTAACAAAAACATTGGTATTTTATTAATTATTTTATCAAACATATTTCTTCTAACTACAATTCAACAGTTTTAATCTCTGAAAATTAAAAAAAAAAAAACAAGAACTACCCCTTTGCACATAAGGCTCTACTGCTGCATTTATTATTAGAGTAATACGACGTATTGACCTACATAAAACTTATATATACATTTTTCATCATTTTTTAATTTGTTTCAGTAATGGTAAGTTTTTTCTTTTGACAAAATTTTTTAAAAAAGACAGTAGCATCCTTAAAATGTACATCAAGTTACAATCTTGGGCCTCGTTTTTTTAAAGTTATAAATGACAATTTATATTAGACTTCGCTTTTTACTATCTTGCTCTAGCAAAATAAACTACTCTTGTGCAGCATTTGTGCCTTAAATCGCATGAAATAACAAATTCGTTTAAAGTTCAGTGTAAAAAGTTGGTCGTTCAATACCAATCACGGTAAAAATCTTGGGCAGTACAGAAGTCATACTACAAGTTATCACAAAACAAAATATATATTTGTAAACTAAATCGACTAGTATCTTATTTTTATTTTCCAAGGAGTTTTCACTTCTTTTCAATTCCTTAGAATTCACTTTAAGTATGGCACACATTATAAAATAAATGAAACTTTTTATTAACGCTTTTAGAACTAATATGTAGGTAAAACCTAAAAGAGTTCTTGATATTATTTTAACAATATCTTGGTTAGTTGGCCAAGTTATATTATATGGAGGAGGTAATTGAGATGCTGTAAGTATTCCAGTCTTGTAGTTTATCCAGTAACCTAAATGAATTCCAGTGCCAGTTCCAACAACAAGTGCTGTATCGCCCCTAAAAAATATTTTACCAATTAAATTTTACATTCCTATGATTAAAACATTATGATTATAAAATGGTCAACGTGAATTATGTCATACCTTGTTGGTGTCCATATGCCACTGGTTGGATGATAAACTATTGTTCCTACTCCGATAATAAACAATGTTAAAATAGCCCAGTTATTAGTAATGAAATAGTCATCAATTGCATCTACAAGTGGGACCAAAACTATCATCATTCCACTAGCTAGTACTAATCCAGCAATGACATCAAGCACAGTATGCATGCCCAAGTATATTCTACTGACACAAATCAATAAGCACCTGTAAAAAAAATTACATTTTATACATAATTTTTTTTTTTTTTTTTCAAAGTAAAGTAAAGTAAAATCATAATTAACGTTTAAAGATCTTACCATAGAATAGCTATGACAAATCCAGCAGAAAAAGAATAAATGTATTTATTTTTAGTGAAAAAAACAGCACTGAAAGGAATTGAAACAGCAATCATGGCATGTGTTGATGGCATTCCATACTCTAATGACCATTTCTTTTGCAATCTCACTGCTGGTGGACATGAAGGTCTAGGCCAACAAATAATATCTTTCAGAACTTGCCCTGTAGTCAAAATAATTGACCAAACTAAGATAATCCTCCTCCCAACCGTGCCATCAATATTCCAGATCCAAAATGGAAAGAATAGTGAGTAAAAAATTTCATCTCCCAATTCTGTACCAAATACAAACAGATAGTACCAAAATTGATTTTTTATTGTATGGGATTTAGTATTTTCAATTGCTGATATCTCGCTGCTTGGTGATAATACATCCTTGTGACGTTCTCTTGTTGTGTTTTCATTTATTTGATTGTAAGATCCATGAACTAATGTACTTGATTTTTCACTATTGAGGCCATTCTTCTCGCTTTTTGACTTTTCATTACCACTTTTATTTTTTGTTTCTTCATGACTGTTATTTTTATAATGAATTTGAATACCAAAAAATTCTTGAATTTTAGCAACTAAGAGCGGATCCTTGTAATGTTGAACGAAAGTTGACCACATTTTCCATCAATTTGAGAGTGTGTTAGGTATCTAAAAGTAAAAGAAAATTAAGTTGGAAACTAATTTGAATAGTTTTTGTATTACAAGTACTTTTCGTGTAATATTTTTTTTTTTTTTTTTTTTTTAATCAATTAAAATTTGATTGGATATAATTTTCGCGTATCATATATAAATAATAACAAAATATTTTTTCGAAAGAAAAAAACGTTGAGGTTAGGAGATTGAAGTATTCGTAATAGTAAATATTAAATAGATATTTCCTAATCAATTGATCATTGAATTAGGTACATACTCGTCCAAAGAAATACTTTTGTGATGAAAGTATAAAAAGCCCATTTAACTGTCAAGGGCCGATTTTTTACCGATTAATATATTCCAAAGGGGTAAGAAGAAATAGCAAAAAAAGTGTCAAAAGTATAAACTTCAAAAATGTTGATGACGATGAAAATAAAAAATACGAAGAAACAATGAGCATGCAACACTACACTGTATACTGAGACTATTAAAATAAGTTTAAGAGAAAATATGAATTTTGTTTACACACGCACTTTTACTAGTTAATGGTGAAACATTTCTAGGAGCAGTGAAACAGTCATCCTCCTGAAGAGGTGACACGATAATACAGCCTCTCGTTTTTTTTTTTTTTCTGAACTTAGGAATATAAGTAAGCAATTGAAGTTGTAGACGTGACAATACTGACGATCAGTGTAACGAGCGTATAATGTATATAT